TCAATTTGATGAGCTTTGTGAGTCCCCGATTGCCGCTGCTGTTGTTGTTGTTGTTGTTGTTGTTGTTGCTATTGTTTTTGTTGTAATTGCCACTAATTACTAGCACTGCGATTGCTATTGCGGCATGCCTTTCGAGGCACGTTGTCCCTGGCAACTTATGCAAATGCGGCCCAGCACTCATCATCTGTCTGCTGCCTGATTTTGGCAGCGTCTCTCACTCCTTTCATTGTCCTCGCTTGTTTCGTGTATATAATTTACATAAACATCTAATTGTTGGCTGGCATTGTTGTTGCTATTGCTGCTGCTGCTGCTACTGTTGCTGTTGCTGTTGCTGTTGCCGTTGCTATTACACTTGCTGTAATCATGCTTAATTGTTTTCGTTGGCGTTCCATGTTCCGATGCTCATGATTGACAGTTTGTGCTTTGGTGGTTTTATGCCAACAACAGGCCAGCAAAACCGCAGTAACCGCCGAAACCCGCCAAACCGCTGTTACTTCACAATCCGCCCACCAGTTTTACCAACCCCCTCCACTTTAACCCACCGCATCCCCCATCCTCCGTGCCCCCTATCGCATTTCACATTTTAAGTGCCTTTAAGTGCCGAATGGCACGCTTTGCATACCGCCATTTTACTGGCCATTTTCACTCGCCGTCTTCACTTGGCAAAGGCGTGAGTATTGTGAATATATATAGCTATATATATATATATATATATTTGATATATTCAATTAGGCAAATTGTTTCCAGTTGTGACCCGAAATGTAATTGGCCATAGTTCACAAGACAAAGGCCAATATGTCATAATTGCCGTACTTCGGCAAACTGTGATAAGGGCAACATTCTTAATATAATAAGCTAGATTAATTTCCAATTGCTTGTACAACAAGGCACAACAACAACAATTTCAATTCGAATTGACTTCAACAGTGGCTGCAACAGATAATTGGCAATTAGAAGCGATTTGTACATAATAAAACGCCCACTCACTACCTGCTTCAGATAAATAGCTTGAGCGCAGAAAACAATTTGCATAGATTTGAGTGGCAACGAGTTTTGCGACAAGTGCAACTTGTTAAGAGGAATAGTAAAATGCTTTGCAGTTAGCGTGGTTAACAAGTTTAACTTAATTGGTTGCAAGCGGTTCTTTAGATAATTAACTTAAGCAATAAAGTTTTAAATCAAATTATATTGAATGTTAAAAATTTTTATGATTTACAAATAACAACTGCTTTTTAAACAGGTAGATGAAGAGTAGATTTGGATAATCAAATTGAAGCGCTTTGAACCTATGTATAAAAAGTTATTTTTCTGACGGCTGGTCAAACTCTGTATGAAAATTCACATCAAGAGGCTGTGTGGTCTATGGGTCTAAGCCTTGGCCTAGCAATCAGCAGATTGCCGGTTCAAAGTCAGCATCAATTATATTTGTTTATTTAATACGTTGCTATTCAAAAAGAACAAAGCAATAATAATAAATTAAAACAAACAAAGGAATGGAAACTGCATAGTTAATTAATGAAATCAACATATTATTAACTACAATAATGCTGTCATATATATTCTATGGCTTCTTTATGGTAAGGATGAAGTTTTGGGATTAAATGCATAGACTCATAGTGGCCATTCGAGCAGTTTTGTATCTGGCTGAAGTTGGCGCAAATTACTCAAGCAATTTGGCTGCCACTTGCGCATGTTCAACATTATTCATTTTACCCGGGCGATTCCGGATAATATATATGTATATATATTATATATAAACTTCTTTGAAGAACTGAGCACTCTTGGTGTTTAATTAATTGGCTTTAAAACAAGCTATAACTAACCTTTTAAGCCAATCAATTCATACAGAAAGGCTTGAAACATATAAAAGAGCGGAAAGTGCAAAAAGCTTAATGATAAATACAGCTTAATTTAAGGGGATGAGAATAACATCGAAATTGCATTTTTCTCTGTAAACATTTGGCATTAATATTGTTAATTGTATCAAGTTAAGCAAATCAAACACGTTTGAAGCTTTAGGCACCTACAGCTTGCTCTTTTCCAATATGTACATGCATGAGTTTTCTCTATGCTTATTAGATGCAGAAAATAAAATTCCATTTGGCTTATTATCGATATGCTTCGGTTCCATATGCTGCATTGAGAGCCTCTTGAGCAGCAGCAGCTATTTGCCATGCGTACATAAGCCCAACTATTTGCCATAATCAAATTAAACTTGAGATTCTAATGCAAGCACATAATGATGATAAAGAGATCTGTAAAGGTAAAACAGAGAAAGAGGATTCGCTGGGAATTTGCTTTGTGATGTGCTCGAAGAAATGCGAAGCTCTCAAATGTGTATTTGCGCCAGGGATGCAATTGTTTTCCCCGCAGCTCACATGATTGTCATGGCAACCATGACAACTGGCAGTACTGCTATGTGTGTTGGGTGTGTGTGTGTGTATGTGTGTGTGTGTGTGGCATGTAGATATACTTGCCATAGATCAATGCCAGCTGCACTGACAGTTGATATTTACCTTTTAATATTATTAATATTATTAAAATGAGCAGCAGCGAGCACCAGCCTCATATGCATACATAGGGCATCCTTTCCAAATGTGCTGTCAGCTTTGTGTGTGCCTGCTTATGTGTGTGTGTGTGTGTGCGTGTCTGAGTCTGTGTGAGTGTGGCTTAGTGTGTGTCCTGACTGATATTCATAGTGTGACGTTGCTTGCTGCCACTCGCAAATGAAGTTCTTGTGGCCTGGCAAAATGAAGTCCAGGCTTGTGTCTGCTATTTTGCCTTTGACAGCAACTACACACACACATGCACACACACGCGCACATACTCAAGCCTTTGCTGCTGTTTTTTGCATGCCGTAGGTGTTGCTGGTGTTGCCACCGTCTGTTGGCTGCTGTCCGCTTGCTGTCTGCATTCAATGAAGCTTGGCTGTTGGCAATAAAATCAGCAAATATTTTCAAGGAAAAACATGTTGAAATTAAGCAAAATGAACTGAATCATTTTTTCTGCATTGTTTTTGCCTTTTCAATATAGAGGGTATTATTAGTGCAACGGGTATTATAAGTTTCTTATAAATAGCGAAACGCACACGTGGATTCATGGTGAACAAAAATCAGTTTTTTTTTTCGAAGGTTGTCTCTTAAGTTTTTGCATGTTCAACTTTTATATAGCTTTCATGATGTCTTGAACTTTTTAATGCATTCAGTATTTTAGCAAAAGAATTTACCATCACAGCACAAATAGCTGCCACAGGACAAACAAGTCCCAATTTCAGTCACGATTAGATTTAGCTTTGACTATAATAATCTATATTGTGCAAGGGTAATTGATAATCGATTCGTGTGACAGGAATTTTTTGTTGTTTTCAATTTTAGTGTCCCGAGCCTAACGAAAATCTTTAAAGCTTGTGGAATTGATTTGTTTAAATGTATATAACAAGCTAAAAGGAGTTGTCACGACGATGATGTGAGAAGATTGAGTCATGTCGATCGGACTGTCCTGTCTGTTTGTCTGTCAGTGCTTTTTTTAGAGATTTGAAAATTGACTATATCTTTCTCAGTGTACTCCTCTATACCGTGTACAATTTACAGCCTCGTTGTTCCGTCAGTTTTTGGAATTTCCACACATTTCTATGTCATAGTTACGTCCGGAACCGAAAGCATTTCCCATTGGTTTACGTAGGTGGGAAAAAAGAAGCACAGCCACAGCACAGTAAATATTTGTGTATGTGTAGAAACGAAGCTTGAATATTTGTGACGGGTCTCTATGCTGGCTAGAGGGCATCGCCTGGTCGGGCACTCCCAAGTCGAGAAAGGATTTTGTTTTCATTTTTACATTTTTGCCCTTGTTGTTGACCGGAAATCACAATCGCCACGTGTAACCGTGTAATATGGTTATACGCGCTTATTATGCTCCGCGCCCATAGGTATGCAATATTGTTCGCAAGTCCTCAGTACGCATACGACGCGTGCGTGTGTGCTTGTATTTTGTTGTATGTGCGGCTGACTAAGAGAAACAACAATGGTGGCTAGCACAATGTTCGCATAGTTCAACAACTTGTTGTTGTTTTTGTTGATGCCCAAGGGCCGCAGACGCGTGGGCTTCGCTGCCAAAAGGCTGCCAATGACAGAAAATGTTGTGGTGTAGGTTGGTTAAAGCCGGGCTACTTACTGTTGCGCAGTTGCCAGAACTAAAGGCAATATCAGCATGCGAACACCAGCGCATATCCACATTCTCTGGCACACACACACACACACACACACGCACACACATTTTGCATATTGTTGCCGCTTTTGGTATTTCGCGTGGCATTTAAAAGCAAACGTGAATACCGAAGGCAACGGCAACAATACGAAATGTTCTATATGTGCCGCATGTTGTTGTTGCTAAATTGTGAACTAGTTAAATTTAAAAATATCAATGTCACTTTACAAATGCAATGTCAATTAAGTTGTCAACGGCTTTAAATAAATACCATTTAAAATACTAACGTCCATTCTACTGTCAATGTCAACCTTTAAAATACTAATTAAAACTATAGCTAATGCTTATGACTTATTGAATCAGCATTGAACTGTCATATAGCTCTGCGGATTCTACTCTCATTCAAATTTATAATAGACTGACTGACATGCGGGCTAATTGGTATAATGGGATTTTTAAAATGTTGCTTCAAAACTAATGGGTTTTTCATTTGATTGTTATCAAAAATCTATTTCAATGTGCATGAGTATGCTTATATGTATGTGTATGTGTCTGCATTTAAGTGACCTTAACAAAGAAATTCTAAATATTCTTTATATTTTACCTCTTAAAAAAAAAAATACTGTTGTCTCATAAACTCAAGTGTTAATTCTATTAAGGCAAACAGTTTTTATATCTGTTCATACTCTCACTCTAATTTCGTCTACCATTCTATCACATAATCCCTCCCTCTTTCATTTTAATTCTTTCTGTCTTCACAAGCTCTAATCCGCTTTTCATTTCTTTTGTTCTTTTAGAGATTTTTATATTTTTAAAGACCTTTCGCCTCCTGCAAAGCGATGGTAATCAAATAATCGCTCTTATGCATGTGATTTTTCAGGTAAGTACATATTTATATAATTATTTATGTGTATATTAAAATATATACATGTAATCTAGACCTGAGCCCGGGCTTTCTCCTCGTCTACTTATATCTTATATTTATATTCTATTTTTCATGAAGTTTACTGTACCCAACATCTTATTATGGTAGTGCGTATGGAATGAAATTCATAATGTTTTGAATAAATTTTTCTATTTTTATATATCATACCTGGGAACTTTTAAGCCCGACCCACCACCTGCCCATGTACATGGCTGTGTGTGCAGCTGGTTTTTTCTTATATTAAGACAAAAGCAACGTCTGGCAGAACTGTTGTGAGGGCAGCTTTTCGCAGATGATTACCTATATAAAGGACACCTTAGCAACATTCTGTCTGACCCAAGATGCCAAAGTGTGTACTCATTATAACGAATGACCCTTGTTGTTTACACACACACATACACATTGACAGTCACACACATAGACACGTGCAAAACTCGCGACTGACAAATGGCATTATATTTGTTTGACAAGTCAAAGCGGACTCTGCAGTGCTAGCTGCAACAGCCATTGCAAGTGTACTTCAAAGTTGCCAGAGCATACTTCGAGGCTGGCCCAAGTGCGTATGTCGGTCGCAGCAAGTGCTATGCGTATGTGCTTGTGTGTGCGTGTTTGTGTTTGTATTTGTGTTTGTGTTTGTGCTAGTGTCAGTCAGTCAGTCATTTAGTGCTCGCTGGACTCACTGTCTCTAAAGCATCTGCTTTGGCTAACGAACGCTCACAGTTATGCCAAGCGTTAAAAAACAGTAAACGCTTTTAGACGGCTTGTATTTGTTTTTTTCTGCTGCTGCTGCCCATTTTGGTGGATCAGCATTTGCATAACAGTTGCCAACACTTGACTCTCTTCATTGCCAACCAATGACTCTCTTAAATGCCGCAGAGAAAGCTTGCCGCAACAGTGCCAGCGGCGCACACTCACCACGTGTTGAATTGAGAACTTCGCCCACCTTCAACCTGTCGCAAATTTGCGCCTTTCGCAAATGCATGCAGTCGCTGGCTTGACCAGGTGTCCCGTTCCATGCCTTGCGTAGTGCTCCAGCGTAACATGCAACGCTCCTTTCGCATTTCCCACAATTCTATGCACCAATTCCTGCTACCTGTGCTCCAAGTCGTGTGTTGTGATCGAAAGTCAGCTTTGCGCTATTGAGTCAAACATTGTCGAAACCCTTCAGCGACATTAAAAGTTGGATGAGCCCTGGAGCAGAAATAGATGAATCTTTTAAAGTCTGCAAAAAGTTTATTAATATAAATGTACATACGTTTGTCTCTTGAGATATATTAATTAATATCAATAGTGAGTACGATGTAGTTATTTGATTGTTCCTTATCACCAGTTTTTAGAATTAGTATGTTTTACACAATAAGTTAATATTCCACAACAGTTCAAAGAACTGGTTTGTTCAGATGTATGTAATAGGCAAAAGGTGGATCCACTGAACCTTTTAAGGATATCTGTTCTTGCTGAATATCAATAGCCGAGTCGATCTACCCGTGTCCGCTAATCTCTCTAACGGCACGTCCGTCTGCCTGACAACTCGACAGTTCGTGTTCGAATCAATACAAATCGACTGAAAATATGTGGAGTCTCGTATGAAAAGCCTCTCACTCCTCTCCAATAAATTTCAAAAATGCTTTTTGAAAGGGTTTTGATTTACTTACAGACCTATATGCCACATTTCGTGCTCTGTATAATCTTATAAATTTGTTGTTAGATCTTGACATCTTGAAACTAATAAAAAATCGAAAAAATATGCATCCAAAATTCTTAAAAGTATAGGCAAATTATGTTATAGTTTTTAAACAAACTTTTGAGATTATAATACAAATGCATAAATTTAAAGAGAGAATTCGACAAGTTTTGAACATCCATCATGTTCCAGAAATATATTGACATCTATCGATAGTACGTGCCACTTAGTAATTATCATGCGAGAGTTTTTCAACACGTTGATTGGATGGTACTAACATGAGAGATGTAGAGACGAGACTAAAGCACTTTGTTGCTTGCCTTATAATTTAAAAAGTCAACCAGCTGATGGCCAAACATAAAAGCCATCTAACTGGCATTCATTTTGGCCATACTGTTAGCTGTTATCGTTGCACGCTCTCCTTTTGGCTGTTGCTTAGCCAATGGGCCCACATGGCCAGTATGTCGGGAAGGGGCGATAGGGCGTATGCGTAATGCGCATATGTGTTTATAACAGCGGCAACGTCAACGTCATCATTGACGCTTGGAACGTGCCAATGAGCTGTGCGACCATTCCTTTTTATATATCTGCTAATGACTCAATTTGGCGACAAACAGCAGTGCGAGCAGAGCGTAAAGAGAGCGGAGATAGTGGAAGCGTGCTATGCGCGCATTATGAGACAGATGACCTAAACAATTAACTGCTAACACACGCACGCTTCCACAACAAATGGCAATTGATGAACGCATACACTTGCTTTTTATATTTCCAACATACGCGCGGTTAGTTCGCTTGAAGGTGTGCGCAGGACATGTATCTGTGGTCAGTGTTTAAAAACGTTTAACTAATATGATTGCAATTCGTTGAATTTAATGAGGCGATTTTTCTATCTGTGCGGACACCTATTTTAATAAGATGGATATATTTTTCTCAGAGGAGGTTTTTCACATGGGTAAATCTTTGGGTACTCTGGTCGGGGCAAGTAATTTGATGTTGGCTTTTTAGAATGGATACTTCGGTATCGGAATAAATATTGTTTGTTTAGTATTTGGCATTTAAATACAGGTACTCTGCGTCTGGTTTGTATGCTGACAGCAGCTACTTGGCTGGACGATGAATACCCTCAGTTACAGTAAAAAGAAACAAACAGCGTTGGCCGCGCATACTTAGCGCAAATTGCTCTTTTGCACTACAAACAAGTGCTCCCAGCTACTTCTCCTCCCGATACAGCTGCATGCAGCCTTGAACCAAAGCGTCTTCTTAGTAAGTATGTCGCTTCCGTTTCCGTTGCCGTTGTCGTTGCCATTATTGGTGGGCCAGAAACGTTAGGTTAGCCACCCACACGCACATTGTTGTCCCAAAGTGCTGACACAGAACACCAGATAGATGGGGTAGGGGCAATGATACAGTTTCAAATATACACACACTGACTCACATCTATATAAGTATATATATATACACATGCATCATTGGCTATTATCGTGTGAGCCTTAAAAGCACAGAGCGATAGACACAAAGTTGTCTCAGAGTAACGGCAGGACAATGAAATGTCTTGCTCAATAAATAGTCAAAAGCAGTAACAACAAAAACAACAACAACAATCAGTGGCAACAACACGCGGCCACTTTGCGTGGCACAGCTTCGCTTTGACTATGTGGCTGCTGCTGCTTTATCGCAACCAATTCGCAATTCGATTTGCTTTTGTGTGCGTCGCACGCGGCGTATGCGTAATGTGTTTGCGTATTGTGCGCGTTTGTGTGCGCGTGTGCGTATTCTATCGGTGTCTTACAGTCGCGACAATCGCAATTTAGTGCCGCTTTTATAGCCCCTAGGTGCGAGTGCCAGCAAGTTCTCGAATAATGGAAATTACTTGATTATCGTTTACATGTCGCCAATCGCTCAGTGCGGTACTCAGGAACAGGATAGAAGCGAGCCGTACAGGATAGCTAGTTAATAGACTCCCTCTGACCACATTCATCGTCCATTGGCCTGCTCTAACGCATTCAGCGTGAATCTTATTAAAATTATTGTATTCGATTTGGCCCAACAAATAGAAGAACCTGCCTAGCATCCTGTACGATTGTAAGCGCTTCCCCTATCCCATCTATCCACCTGCTTGCCAATTTTATTTGCCTCGAGGGCAGCTCCAGACAGGGTCATTAACGGGTGCTCGTTAATTTCAATCTCATTCTGCCCGCTGACCAATTTGTGTGCTAACAAATACATGTAATTAAATAAACTGGCTAACGCTTAGCAGCTTTCGTAACGCCATTTCGATTAGTCGAAACGGGTTAAGTTTTGGGTATGCTAACAATATATACTATATATACATATAAGAACATGTGATTGATACTTTTGCTATATTTCAACTGGTCTCGACTGCTTAATTACAATTACCGAGCATAGTCGCGCGTATCTAGACAAGGGCAGACGTCAAATAGGCTGGCAAATAAACTTCATTTGTTTGTGCATTTCGTTTCCAATTTAGCAAATACTTTTAGAAGGAATTAAATACATTTAAAAAAGTTGTAAGAGCTAGAGCATAAATTAGTTATGAATAAAAATATGTTATTGCTATATGATCATAAGAACCGATCGCAGTCAGTTGTTTTCACATAGGCCCTAGCTTGGATCATTGTCAATCTCGATAACGTTTTGTCTTATTGTTATAATTTTTTATTGAAATTATAAAGAAATCATTTTTATCATTTTTTGATACTTTTCCATATTAATCATATCGATAAATATCGATTTTGTGGTATGATTTTTTGAGCTTAGCTTGAAATTTTTAAGAGCTAGATACATCATACTTGTTATGTAAGAATATTTCACTTTTTGCATCATCGTTTCTAAGTAATAATATAATGTTTGTCTCAAGTATTTTTGCTTTTAACAGATTTCCCAATACCATCTTTAGCATATATGAATTTTAAGAGAATAATGCATTCTAGATCGAAGCAGCATCAAAAATTGCACAGCAATTTTTTGGTTCCTTTCACAAAGCTGTTAATTGGTGCGTTTATAAAACTTAGTATAGTGAATTCCATTATGTTAAATAAGAAATTTCGCTTAAGAAATTTTCAAGTTTTAACAGGGAAAAAATTCAAAAAGGGCGAGCGACTTTAAGTGTGTGCGAAAACCGAGTGTGTGTCTGTGTGTATGGCTTCTTAAATTTTCCGGCTTTTGACGTGCCAATTTTACGCAGTTTTCAGCAAGTTGGAAAACTTTCAGCACGCTAACAAAACTATATAAATAAATGCGCTCTTACACA